GCTGTTCGAGCTTTTGGTGAACTTGCTGCTGCTGTCCGAGCGGCTACAGTTGCGCCAAATCGTGATGCTACTGCCGCCACTTCGGGTTTTCGTACTGCTTCTGTATCTTCTTCTTCTGCTGTTTTTGTCTCTGGGGAGGCTCCTGGTGGCTCAGTACTCGGTGCCGCTGTCGCTGCCTTCGCCGAACCACCTGCTGCTGAAAAGGCAGCTATTCCTCGTGGCTCGCATCCTTTTCTTTGTCTCGTTGCAGTACCAGGTGGGACCCAGTTGCTGCTGACGCACCTCCTGGGGGGGCTGAGACAGAATGGTCTGCAGTAAGCGAACAAGGGAAGCAGGAAGAAACGCTAGATGGGGATGCCACGGGCTTCGGATGCTGCGTGCGAGCCTGCCTGCTGCTAGCTCTGGGAAGCTCCCGCAAGTGCTTTCTATGCACGCTTTGGTACGCACCCCAGTCTGCTGACAAGGGCAGCAAAACGAAGGGTCTGCAGTGTAGCATTTCTGTCAGCCGCTTTGCTGCTGACGGTAAAAACCATGGAAACGTGGCCACAGCCATCCTGCAGCGGCAGCATCAGCGGCCACAAACCAAAGAAGAAAAACCCGGAGAGATCATCGCTGAGGGCTTCCAGCACCTTAAAGTGTGTACAGTGATTTGCTCACGGCCATGCCAGCCTTTGTGATTGGGTCCTCACCAGTACATCTCTAAGAGCTAGCGTTAAACACGAATCCCTGAAGCGCACATGGGGGCCGTTTCTGGTTTCAGGCCGACTTGAGCAGGGGCCTTCAAGAGGCTCCTCGGCAGTTCCAAGCCTGGATTGCGACGAGCTCTTGTCAGTACTACCCATAGGCTTGAATACGCCAGCTGTGCTAGACAGATCACTTGCTATCCTACACGGTCCCACCCGCAGCCGCAGGGGAAGAGGACAATCGACAGAGCAGCCCGGAGCTCTGCTCTTCTGCCTGGCAACCGCACAGTGTCTCCCCAGCGCTGCGACGACGGCCATAAAAGCTGTCAGGCTTTTGCTTATCGATGATGCCTGAATAGATACCAGAAAAAAAGGAAGAATGCACATGATATACCACGAAGTGCCAATATGACAATACCAAACGGTAATTAAAAAGGTCCAACGGCTCATTCAGAAGGTCTTGAGTTGTCTTTTTCGGGCCTTCCCTAAGCCCACCGATGGATCCTACACTTTGAAAGCCCCCAGTGCTGCGTCGGCGTGACTTGGGCGCTTCTTCCTAGCCAAGCGCATCTTTTTTGGGGGCTCTACAGATCCACTGTTGCAGGATTACTTTCGAGACAAGTCATTCATCATAGTGTCCCCATTATTGGGGGTCCTGAGTCTCACTTCTTGGGCAAGAAGAGCCTTTGACGGTGCCGGTGAGGGGTATAAAGAGTTTCCGCCGTCAGGAGCATCACAGCTTTCCAAAGGCTGACGCTCGGCACCAGCCAGGTCCACCAGGTACAGGCAAGACGTTTTTTTCTGTGTACCCTGATCGCGTACGCAGCTTATTGCCAAATTACTGTGACGTTAGCGGATGCCGCAAAACGCCCAGTAGGTGCATTACGGACCCCAAAGTTCTTACCTCTGTGGGCTCCTTGCTTTTTGAACGGCTTGCCGGGTGGTTCACGGAAAGACAAAGTAAAACATGGCTTCTACTGCTGCAACGGTTAGCAGCTGTAGCACGACAGACCCTTCGACTGAGACCCCTTAATGCAGCGGCAACAGCCTCTTCCGCCGTAGTAACCCGAACGGACGAGACAGCAGAAAAACCTCCACTACGCCACTGAGGCACAGTAAAGCTGCTCGAAGAATACACCTTCTAAGAACACAGAGCACAGAAGTTGCTGTCCAAGGAAACACAAAATTCGCTATCCACAAAGCAGAAAGGACAGTGTACGCCGAAGGTCAGAATTTGCTTTGTTCCGACAAGCCCCGTACCTGTACGAACCCACCTGCTGAACAGCTGCATTTTCTTTTAGGTCGCCAGGAGGCCTCAAAAGGTCCCTCAGCTTTTCGCAGTAGACCTCAGCAGCAGAGAACGTCACTAGCCTACGGATGTCGTAACGCAATTTTGGAATTTCGTATCGCACCAGCAAATAGGCAAGCAACCAGAGAGCAGTGGTGAGTGAGCGAGCTTGGTAAATAGAGCTTTTTGGGCGCTGATTTTGCAGATTGAAGGAAGAAAGCCTACCCTTGCGGCCTCCCTTCTTTCTCCCCAGCTACAAGAGCATCCATCACATACTCCAGTGCCCGCAAGGCAAGGCCCCAGTTTTTGCTGCCATCAACACCGCTGTTGCTGGCGCTCCGGTGAAAATGACTTGGATCCCTTCCGTGGGGCCCCACCATCGTGTACGTCTTCCCGCTGCCCGAGGCTCCATACCTACCGCGCAAAGAAACTGAAAGGAGATGACTCTTCATGCCTTATATGGTGTAATTTGTAATCTGGACCCTAAACCGTTGGGCGTACTCGGGCTAGAACGCCTCAGCTCACATGGCAATGCAGGCATTGGCGCCCCTCAGCACAGCGTCTGCTGCTGGTCTTCCTACAGACCGAAATACTGTTTCCTGAGATGTGTTTTGCAGAAGCAATCCTCCGAATCGAAACGGGCCCTCGTAACCCTTTTGCCCCGAGGGAGATCTGGGACAAAGTGCCGGATGCTCTGAGCGTTGGTGGCGTGGCGGAGCTGCCACAAAAGCGTTTGCGGTGGTCAACTTGCCCTTCTGCACTTTCAAGCCATGCTGCACAGATGAAATCTGAGCGCCTTCATGTTGAGGCCTGCTTTGCCTGACCCTCGAGGCAGGTTTTTCGGCTTTTCCCCATTTCTGAGTGGGCTTGGACCCAAGCGGTGGCAGCACTAAAACTGATGCTGCTCGATGCACAGAAGAAATATGAGTAGAAACAATTCCGGTTTGGGGGTTCTGAAAGTTCTTTAGGCAGTTTTCTTCGTCTTTCTCAGAAAGATTTGTGTGGGCCCGGTTCCTCCCTGAGGCAAGCGATATGACGCCCTTCAAACCATTCAGCTTATCTCCTGTGCATGTAAGGGACTGTGGTGACCCCGTAGGCCCTCGTTTTATGATGCCTTCCACGGGTGATCCAGGCGAGAGTGATCCATGGAACTGTGGTGCACCCTCTACAGAGGTTACTTCCGCTATAGACTGGGCCCGCGATAGTAGCGGGCAAGAAAGGCTCACGTCCACACACTGTATGCATTGTAGCGCTTTCGAAGACGAGGGGGAAGGGGGACGTATCCGTAGGAAGGTGTGCATCCCCGTGAACAGCGCACATGCGAGGCTCGTGGCCTCCGCAAAAGACGTTAAGCGCACCAGCACACTTGAGGGGCTCTCCAATCCGCAAACGCCTATAGGAGAGGATTTTTTACTTGACAGAGCATCCCCTGGCACCCGGCAGTCAAAGGAACTCAAAGTTTAACGCGCACCAAGACAGCAGCAGCAGCTGCTGCTGCTGCTGTCCACACGCGCTTGACAACAGGGCGTTTACACAAGGACAAATGACTTAACATCACAAACGCACGATTAAAAAAACAGCTTTCACAAAAACTTCAACTAGGGGGCTCAGTCGGCTTCGGTAGCCACTGGACCACGCAGGAGCCCCAAGTGGACCTCTGCAGTTACGAAACCGAAACCGGCCAAAATAATGGACGAACTCCGTTTACGAAGATGAAACCTACTGTTACTTAGACGAATACTCTACAATGATTATTCGAAATATAGAGAAAGAGCAGACGGACCATGCGCCATGGGGTATTGCCACCCTGAAACGCACGATGTGAGTATGAGGTGCAATCCATGGTATCCTCGGATTTCACTGATCTCCTGCTTAAAGAATGCATTAAATAGTTCATATGATTTATTAGTGAAAACGAGAAAAAGTTAAAGAAACCAGGTCGCCGTCCAGCTGCTGTGACCGGTCCCAGTTCCGGCGCAGCCGAACAGAGCTGCAGCAGCAGCATTGCAGATTGGACCAGCGACTAGAGGGCAGAAACGCATATTTCGGCAGAGCGAAGCCCTTCTAGGTAACTTCCATTTTTTTGGTGCAAATGGTTCTCAACTTTAGAGCAGAAACAGACAGTTACTAACGCGCTCCACTAGAAGCTGTATCTGCCGGAACTATACACACTACAGCAGCGAGTACAGAAAGTAGCGCGGGCAATCTAAGCACGGAAGGCACATCTCTCCTTCGGAAGTCACTGAAGGAGCCTGGACGAAGAAATCTCATGCAGTGTCCAGAGCCCACAGGTCAGGCACTTCCATGATGTGTACGGGATCGACGAAAACGTTGCTGTGCTTTTATCAGAGCCTTAATAAATTTTCTCTACGCGAAGAACCTGTAACAAGCAACAAAACAGCGGAGCAGCGGTGTGGGGCTAAGACATAATCACTCAGACTCCTGCTGCTTACACAGCTCAGCTCGATCTACGGATGCCTACGCACAGGGCCCATTAGGAAGCCCCAAAGCTTTTGTCGGCCAGTACCTGGACATCATTTATCGCTCCTGGGATAAGTGCGACGCCGCCAAGCGCTGCTGTTGCTGCCAAGGAGTAGAACACATATCCCCACCTGCAAGGCCACGGGCAAGACAAACACTAGCTTGTCGTATAGCAAGACTGCTTTAAGACTGCTCTGCTTTAAGACTGCTCAATTGTTTGGCAGAAGATGATATGGGTCGCAAAGTGCCCAGCCTTTAGATGCCACAGGCACATACCCATATAGAGAAAGAAGTGTTGGAGTCAGAAGGCCCTGCACAATGGAGCCAACACTTCCAGATCCGTTTACTATACCTGCAGCATCAAATTCATCATAAGCACGCATGGAGACAGAGAAACCTTCAGCAGATGCAACTACGGTTAGGTTTTCGTAACAGCGAGCTGTGTAAGAAGTCCGCCTCTTCCGACGCTATCACGTTTTCGACTCGAAACAGCCCTCTCCAGCCTTCGCCCATAAATGCTCTCCTCATTACTGTGCTTTCATGTTCGTCTATGCCTGTATCTGTCTGTTTCTACATTTTCTGAGCTTTGGCTGTGCCTGTAGCAGGGCCGGGAAGAGTCCCGTATTTTGAAGCGCACAAGATGCTGCAGCTGCTAGGACCTCATCGGAGGCTCCCGCCTCCTCTGCGCAGGCATCGGCCGTTGCTGCTCCCCCCAATACTGAGTCCGGAGCTGCAATGGCTGCTCCAGCAAGCAGCAATGCCGCTTGCGGGACAAGAGAAAGATCTTCGGGGGGCCCCCAAAGAACAGAGTAGTGCAACAACGCCACTGAAGCTCCGGCAATGCAGCAAAGAGGAGACAGCAGCAGCAGGCGACGGCCCCGCAGGTACCTGTCGGACAGCCAGCTGAGACACAAGCAACAACACCAGCCCAACCAAAAAACCATTGCTACACCTTGAGCTGCCTCCAGCTCACTCACACAAAGTCACTCAACCAGCGGACGCAAGCTAAGTAAACGTAGCACTCATTCCTGTGAAAAACGCCAAAGCAGCATGCCCTAGATTTCAAATCACGAATCCCTGGTCAAAAATGCAAGTTTCGTGCTACTGCGTGACGACTTGCAGCGTACCCAACAGCGACTGATCCAAAGACACCTCCAACATCGAAGTAGATGCAGTAGAAAGCTGCGCGCACACTCCTGCCTCGACCCCTTGGCCCTCAACCCCAGCCTATCCTGCACTACGTATCCCAAATATTTTTCACTGTGTATCCTAAATCTCCAATCTCACACCCTCGTGTCACACCTGCCGCCGACGCAGTCAGTCCTGCTTGTTTTTCCAAGTAGTAGGGTAGCCAATAAAGAAGAGAGTATCTGACGAGTTTTACGCAGAAGTAGGCGGCGCAGAGCCTCCGCAAAGTAGCAAACCCCAGTACCCGCGAGAACAAGGCCTTCTGCTGCTGCTCAGCCTGCTGCGCGGAGCCAGCCTTCACGGAAGCGGGACCTGCAGGGGCTCTGCGAAGGCACCGTCCGAGAAGAATGGCACAGCCGAACACCCAAATCGCGGGTACGAGGAAAGCAAGACGCCACTTGTGGGCCTCCTTGTTGGAATGCCCCTGGAAGAAGTCCTCAAACGGAGCAGCCAGCACATTAGCAGGCTGAGCGGACAATAATTCAGCCGTTAGGTAGCTAGCGAAGATGCTTCCGACTTGCTGACATGTTGTCCAAACGCCTGATGAGTCAGGCAGACACGCAGAACGAATGAACAAACAGTCGAGGAAGGGAAGCTGCTGCAACAAAAACCAAGTTAAGAGGACCCGCATCTACAGAAATACAAAGCGGCACCTTTGCTGCTGTTGCTGCTGCACTTACCGAGGATCCCCCCACGCTCCCTGCTGGAAAGCCAGGACGACAAAGTGGCCACAGTGAGAGGAAACGCCAGAGCCTGGGCAGCCCCGTTGATGCCCCAGAGCAACAAAATAGATAGGAGAGACAGGTGCTGATCCGGAAGCAGGTAAATAAGGAAGCAGCAGCATGCACTTACAGCATAGGCAACTGAGAGGATGGTGGTGCATGTGGGGCCCCTCGGGTTCCCGAGCAAGGCGGGGGCAAGCAGCAGCTGTGAAGCCGCATAAGCTCCCAAGAAAGCGCTGTCTACACCTCCCAAAGCTGTAGCAGTGAACCCCAGCTGCAGCTCCAATTCTCTCTTGCACGATGCAAACGGTTTGCGCGTCAAATATAGAGAGGCGTAGCAAAAGTACGTCAGCAGTAGCTGAGCCAGCTTGCCCTCAGAAAGCCGGCTGCTGCTGCTCGTGCTGCTGCCGTTGCTGCTGTCGTTGCTGCTGCGGATGATCTCGCGGCTGTTCTGTGCTTGATTTCCGAAATCTGAGGTTGCTTCACCACGCTCACTCTGCTCAGGCCTCGATGAAGCATGTACCAGCCGTCTGCTGCTGCTTTGCCTTGTCACTCCTGATGTTGCGGCTGCTGCTGTGCGTCTGTTTGAGCTGGAAGAAGGCTCACGAGGCGTGACATTTGATTTCTTATTGTGTGCGTCAGCCTTCTCGGCGTCCTCTTCATCGCTTTCATCGTCGGAGTTGCCCATGTTGCTCATACCCCTCACAAAGGGAAGGGGCCCCGTCTGCAGTCTGTCTGCCAGAATGCCCCCCTTGTACAGCGGCCTCTCTGTAGTAGTCTCTCTGCCTTGGCCTGAGACTTTGGAGTCCCCCAGCACTTCAGCCTTACTGGCTAGCTGGACTCGTGGTGCTGCTGCCCTTCTCCCTCCCGCAGCTCGCGGCGAATGGTCGGGAGAAGCATCAGCCATGCGACCTTTAGCCCGGGCGCCCTTCTGGGCAGGGGAGGGAGTCCCTCGCTTTTTTGCCGAGGGTGCGTTTGGCTTGGCGGCGGCTCTATGGGGGCTTCGACCAGTGGGGGCTTTCCCTGCTCCCGCTGCACCAGCAGTTGCACCTGAAGGTACTGCTTCTGGTCCTGCTGGAGAGGTGACGGTGCCTTGCCTTGTTACAACCATTGCTGATGCCGCTTAATTTGTTGCTGCTCCCTGGACAGAGATGCTGGGGGGCCCCTGAGCTGGATAGAGCAACAAACTGGGACCGTTCCCCACTGTATCAAGCATGCACCAATATGAGAAAACCTTTTTGATGCTAGTTTAGCAAATTTTTTCGTTTACAGGCCCTCACTTCACACGTACCGGTGAATCTGAGGGCCTACCTGTCTTGAGGTTCGTACCAGCTCGGGCCCCCTTAGTGTTGGATTCCAAAACTGCAGGGAAAAAGTACTGATTAGGCGAAAAAATATTATTTTTTCATCCCTTTTTATTTTTCTGTTTACTCCTTTTTCCCGCCGTCTATCATAAATGTCCCTCAGTTGTCACTGTAAACTTCATTCCCCGCACTACTTATTAGTGTGCAGCATGCAAGTCACGTTATTAAGGCGAAAGACTTTATCAGCTATGCTTGCTAGAGAAAGATAAGAAACAGCTCTTCTGGGGAAAATGAAATTGAGGGGAGCAACGTGCCTGATTTTACTGCAAGGGCTGCACCTACGGAAAACGGTGAGCTACATTGGAGTTGTTGGCGTCCTTGGAATACAACGTTCAATGTAATGACGTCAGTATCCCCTTTTTTGAAATTAATCTTAAGTGGTAACACCTTCAATAAGGCAAGGCGGCACCCAGGAGTACTGTAGACAATATGGAGGCGCACGCCTGAGATTGTTGCATTAACACGCTACCGTACGGAAAGGTACATTTTTGTCCCTAAAGCAGTAACTGAGTACTCCTACACGGTTCCTGAACTGGGAAACACCACAATGGCATCATCATAACAGTTTCGAGCTTCTTGGTTGCTGCGTATTTCGGCGCCCCAGGCGCCAAAGCACAGTTCAATGCAACGCTAGCGCAATGATGTAGAGCCGGTGCAACTTAGAACACATTAAGGCAAGGTTTTCATGGGAAAAGAAGACGCTTACAGCTAAGATCGAAAGCTTAAGGGAACCGGACGACATATTACCTTAGTGCCATGGGCTCAGGAAGCTTCAAAGCGTACTTAAGCATGTAGGCCGTGCTCGCTCTGTGCAACACCGCAGCCGCATTTCCTGTTACGAGAACCACTTTTTGCCACATCGAGTTGTAAGGCGGTCGTGAGGCTTGCCTGTGAGTAATGACCAAAACATCTTGGATTTGTTAGTAATTTGGATGCACAAGTCATTTCCTCATAGGCAAATTTTCTGCAATATGCTGCCCATAAAGCATCATTTCATGGTATGGATTTATTTTTCTGTCCTAGAGATAAATTTTTAGCTGTGCAGTTTTGGCTACTCTTCACATCATGCTTGTAAGGCAGGGCAATTAAGGCCATGTATGACGGCGGAAGCCCAAGATAGTGCTCGTATCTCTCCTGTTCTGGCTACATAGTTTCATACCAATCATTACTCACTAAAGACACAATTTAAACATTGAAATCGTCCAAATAACATTACTATGGGGACGTATCGGAATGTGCAGTGAATGGTAGGCCAGTCGAGCAGGGCAGGCCGGTGCTTCTGCCCTCATAACCTCAGACGTTAAAGGCACAAGCATGCATCCACAAGATTTTCCACTCAACAGGCAAGTAGCAGGAACCGAACTGCAGATGGGAACCAAACCAGGTGGATCGTCTCACTGGAGCAATGCAGTAACGGGGCCTCCCGGTGCAAAAGAGTTTAGCAAGACAGACATAAACTGTCTTGCTGCCAGTTGTCGGTTAGAGGGGAGGCAATGTGCTGGTTTTCTGAAGCTTAGTCGAGATGAGATTTACTGAATGAAGATTGGATCAATGGTTTTGGGAAAGCAAGTTGGAGAAATATATAGAAAGTGGTGCTTTGGTGCACTCGGTCTACCCTACGGAAAATGGGGCTTGCTTGACAGGCCGGGCACAGCTGAAGAGGACCATTGTTTAGCACGTTTGTAACCCAAATTATTCGGTAGCTATGCTCCAGATAGAAGAAAATCAATGGCAGGGAATGCTCCAGTTACATTCAGCTAGCTTCACAGAGATACTAGCGCAGGCTATGGGCAAGCTGCCAGCAGAGCTAGTAGAATAATTTGTGGCCATCCTATGAGTCTAATTGTGCAATCCCCGCACTGGAGATACTAAAGTGGATTTTAGGGAGTGGAGGAAAACATCACCAAAACGTGCAGGGTTGGAAGGCTCGAGGCCGAGGGCTGTTTGAGCAGATATGAGGAAAATTTGCGGAGGGATTGGCGTTAAACGCTAGTGCGAGTGCTTCCAGTCCTTACAAACAACGTCTGCATCCAAATAATTTTTTTGCTAGGCCATGAACCATGCTTAGCTCAAATACTGAATGTGTGATCAAGAACCGCTTGCTTTGATCAATCCTATTGCGAACAGTATCCCTTCCTGCGCAGTGGCTTCAGCACCCACGAGCACAATAGGGTTGCTCGTGGCGCCTGCAACCACCGCGCCTCTTTGAGCTTTTCACATAGCCAGGTCCTCTGAATACTTGGGGGCCCGCTCCCTGTGCCAAGTGGTCCAGTGGACACACGGAGCTACCTCAAGTTTTTTTCAATGTTGCGGGCAGCCTAAAAGCTCTTCACTCTCTCCGTACTCGCAGTAGAATGCAGGTTCGCTTCTCACAAAAACAAGCTTCATCTCCTAATTGCTTTCCCTCTTTCTTTATATGTGCTTCGCATGGGCGCGTCAGGAGTAAGACCGAACAGCGCCCAGTGCTCCAGATCGAGCGTTGCAAAGTATGTGTTGCGGGTCTGTTCCGTTTCTTGCTGGATGCTGAGCGAAATAGAAAAGAATATGAGAGGAATATCATGGATTCCGCATTACAATTCATTGAATTCCAATTTCAATTTCTGGCTCCACAGAGGTTCACTCTGGATTTTGAGACCAACAGGGAGATTCGCAGCACGGCAACGGAATTCATCATCGTTTGCATGCTCCACACATCGGCAGCTTGACTTGCAGCTGCTCAGCACGTCGAACACATCTCATTGTTGCACTGCTCATTGGCTCGTCGTCAGGTGCCAACAGTTACTGTCTCATTCTCGCGAGGCGCATAAAAGATACGACGTTTCCCTCTCATCCCCACTACCTATTACACATCCACAGAGAGCTTCCCGAGGTGTTGGCCAGTTCTCAAGATGACCTTTTCGCTTCGGTACTCTTGACGAAGCGTCACCAGACGCCCTATAAGACGCGGAAGCTCCTCAAAGACCATTGAGCGACAGCAGCCATACGTCCGTTGGCGCGCCGTCAGTTTTGCCAAGGCTCTCTCGTCTCTTACACTTTTCCCAAATGCGCCTCAAGGAATCCGCGACTTTTCTTTCGCTTCTGATCCCCACCGTCGTTTCTAACTTGTTGATCAACTCTTGTAGAGTCCTACGTTCCCCTCTCGCGTCGCGTGTGCTACAGGAGGGCTGATTAAGTGCCAGACTCCGACAACTGAAAAATGCAAACCCAACAGTTTTAGTAACTGCAGTGCATGCTCATACTTAAACACAGCGCTACTACAAGTCCACAGCACAATTGCTCCAAACCTCCTTCTGGAGCATGCTGCTCACACTGTACAATTAGACAATGGCCTGTGCTTTACCGAGCAGAGCAGCGCTTGATATTAAAGTTGCAGGTACATCGAGCGTTAAATGCGCGAAGGTGACTAGTAAATCTAAATTTCGAAACCTGGTTGTGAATCGGTGGGGAGGGCCGTTGAAAATCATTCTTAGAAATGATTGTAACACTGTGCGCCGCATGGACTGATAGTATGAGCTGCTGGAGAATATGATCGACTTGAATTTAAGCAAATAAATTTGGACGTGGCTAAAAGACGCCATGGAGCCATTGATATACTGGGAGGTGGCTTAGGAGCAGCGGCTTGATGCCTGACATCGAAGTGCTCAAAAGACTAACTATATATAGAAGACACATCTGGCTGGAAATAATATTCCGTATCTGTGGAATTGGCGGAGCGAAGCTGAACTGCAGAAGCAGCATTGCTGCTGGGTTTGTATTATCAAGTCCCCGAGCGTTCTGGGAAAGGCAATCATTCAAAGGATTGCCGTGCCTGCACATCCTCAGAGAAGGCCCTTGAGGAGCTGTACACTATTTGTGAAAGTGTCAACAGCCCTGGCAGATGCATGGGGCTAACTCCTTTAGAAGTGATAGGTTACCAGGAGAAGATGCCAGCGGAATAGTGTAATGTCTGAGCAGAGGAAAAGTCCATGGCTGTTGCGCAGCAAAGGGATGCATGCATAGTATGAATGCAAGAAGTGATCATGCAACTTTCCGCACTGCGTGGCTAGATGGCATTCCCCGAAAATTGATTTCCAGCATAGCGAATCTCCACAGCATGCGTGAACGACTTTATCCAGCCACCCTTATCATGCTTCAGTGGTCGTGCAGGAGGTACGTAAAGTTTTTCCTCCTGTAAATGCCTTAGTATTCGATCCCAGCGATTCAGCTGTTCCACCACCTGCAGCACTCTTACCGTCTGCCAGTATTGGTGAAACAAAAGGGGCTTATTTTTCCTTTTTGGCTACTTCGCCCTGATCGATTCAGTGCAGGCCTGCTCTCCTGTGCCTTGGTTGGTGCTTCCATGAGGTATCCGTTCTGAGGAAAGAGGCTGAACGTGGCTCATCGTTTGCGCCTACGAAACATCCATCAAGCTGATTCATTTTAGCAAAGCAGAATTTGGCGCTATTGGAGGAATGCTAAATTTCGCGTATGGAGAGCTTCAGGAGCAGGAAAGTGCCTAGACTGCTGCAGCTGAGTTTCCACGCCAGCCACTTCCCACTTACTTCTGTGAACTCCACCCAGATTCCCCCAATAAAACTAGTACGAAGCTAGGAAACCAGAACAAGTTATTTGAAAGGCAAAGAGGCTTTTGATAGCCAAAATAAACAGCTGTTTCCCTTGCACGTGGCCACGTTCAGGAGCACGGTGAGATCTTGGGGCCGCCGGCAATTCTGTGGGCACAGCACCTAAAAGAAAGTGGTTTTACTGGCTAGAAAGGGTGCATATTAGTATAATCGGCATTGTTAGTAGTCAGTTAGACCCCTTACAACGGATCCTAAGGCACATGGCGCCTTGTGCTGCAGGAAGTGTGCAGCAAGACTGTACAGTTCGCTGAGAGGAGGCAAGAGGAGAACTCAAAAAAGAAAAAACCAAAACAATCCGTTTAAAGATGTACCCTTGGCTTGTGGGAGTGCTCAATGCGTTAGTGGGGTTGTGCGTGGTAATCAAGGGAGCTGCCCGTTTTGAACACGATCTGTTCTTGAAATCCATTTTCACATTGCATCCACAGTTTTCTTACCTAATTCCATGTATCTCCCCTCACGAATGTCTCAATCACAATTACAAGGGAAAACTGAACCTTTTTCAAACTATTTTAATCCATGGAACAGACTAGATTCCCGTGCACGCCTGCACGAAGTGGCAGGAGACAGCAGTGAGCGCACTGAATCCTTCGGGTGACCGGGCCCGCTGAAACAGTCACGAAAACATTTCGCATTTCTATCACAATACGGCTAAAATATGGCCTATACAGGGCCAGCTTTGTTTACATCACGAGCGGGCTGGTGCTGCGGATGGGAACAGGTACTGTGTTGAGCGGTGGGATTAGGCAACCTCAGAGCGTTGCGTGCTGACTCTAAATCCCCAGAATATGTAAGGTAACGCAAGCAAAACTAAGCTTGTGCAAGATAAAAAGATGAGATTTTAATTTTGTCCCAAATACCATGACCAAATATGCCGCTGAGACAAGGCAGAAGCATTGATATATACAGATCCCAGATCATACCCAAACGATTGTGCCCGCCTTTCAATGCCTGTGTTATGATGGGGGAGGCCGGCAACCTCCAAAACCAAATTCAAACTGATGCTGGCCCTCTCAATGTGCTAAGAAGGCAAGCGTATTCCTCTTCGGATCACCATTCCTTCGTATGCTCCATTAGCCATCGCAGACTGCTGTGCACTGCGTGGCGCTCACCAAGCCCCACGTCCACCTCCGCAGGGTCTTGTTGCTCAAGACGTCACAAAAGTACCACCAGGGTCCGTGCTCCGCAACAATTCATATTTCGACTTGAGGTGAAGTGGTCAGCAATAGTGTTCGGCCTTTTTTGTACAATCCTCCGCGTTAATGCTTGGACACTGGAGCGAAGGCCAGTGCACGACCATGCACACAGATGCCATTACACACTTTAATATATTCTGCAGGTGAAAAGAATGCGGCGGCTGCTCACAACACCAGTGTTTCATATCTGGGTTGCTGCGCTCAGCGCAGCTGTTTGTTCTACTTCCGCGGACGCCACTGCGTTGACCGAGGCAAATGGTAAACCCGATTTACAAGCTCCCACCGATGGAACGCCTGCTTTAGAGGTGAATATTCTCACTGGCTTTTTCAAGGCAGCTGCATTGCCTTTGCAAACGATCCGTCACGTGAGCCAATGTCCGTACGGTCTCGCTTTGCTCGTTCCCATAGCAGCTGTGATCTTCCTCGTCTTCTTCTGCGCCATGAGCTTGAAGGGACCAAAAACCCTTCTTGCACACGGGCGAGTTAGGAGCTTAGCAGCTGGAGGGGCTGATCCCTGCGAGCTACCCGAAGGGGACAAGGACCAGCACCCACCCAGTGTCTCATCCTCCTCTCCGTATCGTCTGCAGCTTCATGCGTTACAGCCCTCATCAAAAGATGCGTCATGCTTAAATCGTAAGGAGCAATATTCCGTGAAGCTTGCCTGCCACCAACTGAAGAATACGTTGAAGGGCCTTGACCAGCTCGAAACTAAGCTGAAGACGCTGAAAAGTTCATGTCGGTCACTGGCTGAGCAGCTGCAAACGTTGGGGTCTGCTACTGCTGAAGAAAATTTTGATAGCAGATCTATTGAAAAACTCTTAAAAGAGCACCACGAGGAACTACTACAAACAGAGAAGCATCTGGGTGAAGAAAGGGCGAGGCTCTCTCGTCTTGGGTGGACTACTAAACAAGAGGGGCTCTCTCTCCTGCTCAGAGCTAGATTTTTCGTTCAAGGGAGGCACTTGACAGCAGCTGCAGGCCGTGCTTTAGTCGCACGAGATGTTATTCTTGGAGAACAGGCGGCAGAGATCAGCGTGCTTTCCGGGAAAGATCATTTTCTCATACGCTTGTTTGTAAAGCATGTTAACAGCGAGGCGAAGACCTGCCAAATTTCAATCGAAAATGCAACACAATCTACGGTTGACGTGATGATCCGCGCGAGACGGGCTCAACGGGAGCTGGAGGCGTTGGAAGCCCAGCTAAATGTTTTGGGACTTACCGAGTTCGTGGAAACAGTTAAGCAGCACCAGCATGAGCTGCAAACTGCCCTAGACAAGGAGGCGGCCAGGCGAATTCCAAGTATTTTAAGCCCAAGAGAGAGGATAAGCGTGCCACCAACAACTGATAGTGACGTTTTCGCTTCACGTCGCTCTGCGCGGTCTTCCACCACGCAACGCCAGCCCGTAGGCCTTCAGCACAGAGTTACAGTAGGTCGATCTAGATCCTTTAAACACGAGCGCCCTGCGCAGATTGATGTATCTGCTTCAATGGAACGCTGGTCTTCTATGGACTACATACATTTGCACGATAGTGAGCGGCATTCACATCACGGTGTGTCTTCAATGAGACGGCCGTCTCTCAGAGGCCTCCACGAAAGTATACAGAACAGCCGTGGCCGGACACGATCTGGCCAACTTCTTGACTTCCATTTCACGGGGGGAACAAGGGAGTCAAGGGCGCAGGTTTCGTCAGGGAAACACCGTGATCTCACGCGATCCTCATCGTGGAATTATCCAGAAGGCTATACAATCCGTACAAGGTCAGAAGAACTGCTCTCCGCACACGCTCGTCAGTCAAGAGCCCGTACCTCACTGCATCTTCCTTCCCACGCAGCTGCCGAATACTTCCAACATGTTTTTCCGACTCAAAGTGAACGTCCCACGCCTCGTGTGGCATTCTATGGCTCTCGGCAAACATCTTCCATTGAGCGTCTCCCTCCAAGGTCGCCTACCCATACACCATCAGCGCCTTTTCAACTCATGCAGCGCTTTCCACACAATCCTACTCCTGGTCACCCGCGCGCACCTTCTCGAGAGCTCATCGAGCAACCTCGAGAGCAACACCGAGTCTCTTTTTCAGCTGAGGCACGTCCGCAGCCTAAGCAGCAGCTTGGGCAGCCAGTTCCAACTCCAATTCCTGGAACAACCCTACAGAGTGGGGGAGGCTCACAGCACACAACAGTTGCAGACCCGCCATCTTCCCTAACTACTCCTCAGTTAGAATCCGCGGCGGAGCTTTCTCCCTCCTCCACTTCGTCTGGGATGACCTCAGTGTCCCTCCATGAACAGGTTTCTGTAACAGGCGCTGGCAGTTCTCCACGCACAGAGGCGCCAGAGACCGGTAACCGTGAAACGCCCTCAGCTTTTCCCCCCAAACCGTACTCACATACAGTGGGAAGCAATTCTGAATCGGGAAAAGCAGCTGTTGAAAGTGGTCAAGTCACCCAACCAACCATCAAGTCTTCCCTGTTGAAAGATGAGCTCTCGGCCGAGGTTGTCTCGAGCAGCTTTCATGAGCCTGAAGCTGCATTGGGTACCAAATCGCTCACCCCTTCCGAGAGTCCCTCTCCTTCTTCTGAGGTTCTTTCCTCTGGTCAGGAGAGCCCTTCTCGACGTCCTGTAGAATCTTCGAACGTAGCTAGCGAGGCTGCTTCAGGAGGGGACATTTCGCCGCCGCTCTCTCCTGCAGAAAGTCGCCAGTCACGTGGTCCGACGTTTTCAGTCACGTCTCTTATCGCTTCATCACAGGGGACATTTCCCTTGAAGGGTAGTAGCTCTGATCTGTCAGAAATAAGAGAGCCTCCAGGCTCAGCGAAGCCCAGCTCTCGCACTCCTGATGAATTGCCTGAGGTTCCACTTGACAACGCTACCATAACGAGTGCTGAAACATCATCTGGAAGTGGCCCGTCGCCATTAGCATCCGCACCCTGTAGTCAGCAGCCGCCAAGACTAGACTCTCTTTCATCAGAAGAGCAACTTCAAGAGCCTCCACGCCAAGATATGCAGTTCGAGGAGGGTGCCCCGCCACCGGATGGGCAATCGCTTACAGAAGCAGAGTCGTCTGATTCGCTTAGTCAAGCAACATCTGAACAGGTGGCTGAGATGACCCGAAAGTTGTGGGACTTTTCAATGCCTGCTGATGTCGTTGCAAGCTCACTGAAGTACGACGCAGCACTTTTGCCTATTGCAGGAGGACTGTTCACTGAAGGCCTAGAATTATTGAACGAGGTCGCACAATTCTCTGTTGACTTCGAGAGGCACCCTAGGCTGGTGATAGACTTTGAACTGTCGAGACACTATTGCCGTCATGTGTGTGCAAGCCTCCGCTACGGGTGCCAGCGCTGGAAGGAGGAGCTTGAAAAGCTTGTGGAAGCCGTGAATTCAGCAGTGCAGTTATCCAAAGATTTTCGGCGAGAATTCGATGGAAAGTCTCCAAGCTTCTCCTTTCTGGATCAAGCTGAAGTACTGTGGGCTCTTGTGAAGGCAACAAGGGGACTGAGCAAGCACATGTCTAAGTTTGGAGCTTCTTTTTTAGACTCAAACGAGCTTTCACGGCTTCTTCACGAAGCTGACAGCGCGGCTTCTGCAGGGCATACAGAGGTATCAGAGGCAGCAGAGTTTTGTGCAGCTTCATGGACAACGTTACTGCAGCACGAACATAGCCCTGCAGCCTCGGGATCACCTGTAGGGGAGGAAGAGTCAGAACTCCGTCACCGCCTACCCGATGAAGCCAAAGATTTCGCACAAGCGCCTTCAGTGGGAGAGGTACTAGTGGAAGGGCGCTTCCTTGTTGAACGTTTGATTGCATTAGTCGGTCCAAAGCAAGAAGTCATGAAGCTGAGTGCCGCAGTAGAAGAAAGGGAAGCTGCCACCGAATTCCGCTGACTCGCCCCCGGCCTACATTGTACTTAGCTTGAGTGATGGGAACTAAGAGAAATTTTCAAGAAGACCTTTTATTTTCGCGAAGCTGCTAAGCACGCTTTTGTCTTCTGAATGCAGACCGCTCTCGAGCAGCTCTAGTCAGCACGACAACGCTTGGCGTTTTTTCCCGTGCTGAATACAACTGATGGTACTATCTTCAGATCAAGGTTGTTTTGAACTCTGCAGTCGATGCATTAGCTGTCCAATGTGCTGCGAGGGAGAGTGGGCCGGTAGGAGGAAATTGATGAGAGCTGCTCTCTGCTTATTTAGAAAGTATGCATAGGGGTTTCACTTGGAAGTCAAACTCATCCAGCCATGCCAGCAGCATTCACGCTGTGGTCGATTTTGTCAAATATGCAGATGGGCTTCCGCGTAGCTGATGTTTTGCCTCCTGTTTGGAGTTCATGCTGCAGTAAGCCTTGGCAGCTCCTTCTTAATATTAAAAGCAGTTCTTATGAGCTTCATGAGAGGCGCTTCATACACTGAAAATCACCTGTCAATTGCAGACCTCCTTCGCCAGACATACCCTGGTATAGGAAACGCAAGACGCACACGCTTTTCCAAAATGCTTGGCTGCCTGCTAATGTGATATTTCGTAGCTTAGAGATGCCTTTCCACTGAGCGACAGTTCAGAAAGTTTATTTCGGAGTAGAAGCAGCAGCAGGTATTTTGGCTTTTGTGGCAACCCTCCTTGCCGGCACGCTGACTCTACGATGCCTTTGAAATTAAAGGCTTGAGCATCTTATCTTAATTTTACATAAGAAAGGGCTCGATGAACAGGCGAAGCATGAAGTAGAGGGGCAAACGATCAAAAGCCTCTCCGTTTCTCGTGACACGTAGGCCATAGTAAGGGTTTTTTTGTTCAAATTCAAGCAGCATACTAAGGCAGTGATACTTCAGACACATAGTTCGTGTATGTTTGCCGGCCATGAGGACGTATTGATTCTGGACAATTCTACGCTGATGAAGTGTTTCGCAACGAGATGCGCATGTAGAGTTTATGGCCTGCAACGGGAAACGGATTTTAGATCATGAAACTGCTGGTACTTACATGGGTTCAATGCGAATTCTGGATTTATTTTGACGCACCGACAGTCCATAAGTGCAGTCGAAGCTGGCTGATACAATTACGTTACCAAGTCTTCCGAATGCATTACAGACGCTGCGTTCACGCGCAGCAGCCCGAATGCACAACTAATCTATTAACTTCGCTCGCTACGGCTTGGCAGTTCCGATTAGCTACACCCTTCCTCGCCTCATGACCCCGATTTTTGCACCTTAAGCTAATGAACTATAGGGCAAACGGGCGTGAAACTGTCTCGTTGAAAGAAATCCCAATTTTCCAATATTATTCTTTCTAGTGGGATGTCTAGGGGGATTTCTGTCTTTCTATGCAACATATTCGACCTGATCGGAGGTAGATCAAACGCGTTTCGATAGGCTATGAATATTTGACAGGACTTTCGCAAAGGTGGAGGTTCAATTTTTTGATCATGCCTTATGGTGCAATTCCCGACACAGCTAGTGAATGTTCTCGATACACAGCTAATGGCTGGCGCAAACTTTTAATGGTAATGCAGTGTGCAAGGTTTCATAGGAGCGCCACTGAATGCAATACTGTTTTGCAATTTCTAAACTTTGCGAAATGACGAGGTGAGCCTGCCCGATGCATGCTTACAACATGCACCTCCACGTGCTTGCTTTCCTACGCCGATACGCGCTGTTTTGAAGCAGAGAAAAAGGAAGACAAGATAGCAGAGAATTGTTCTTAATCTCATGTTAAGCGCCCACTTTCGGTGCAGGGTGAAAGAATTTTGTCTCTGGCGGCTGCGTCTTTTCGTACGCCGCAACGGTATCTTGAAAAGCTGAATTGCGTCCTGGCGAGCAGAGTTGTTGCGACAAAATTTCCACCGCGCTATGGAAATTATGGCAGCACACTCCGCTGACGGGAAGTATTTACGTAAGGAGCGCCCGCGCTGAGGCTATTTGCCTAAATGATTCTCGTCAGCGGAAGTATTTAGGTTAGTAGCAACCAAGATGATCTTATGCACCGCTTTCAAGCATCTGGTGATTGGGTGCTATTTGCCGAAATGCCCAGAAGGGCTGCGCCGTACCATGCCATACTGCACATATCCAGCTAAGGCGCTCAGTATGATCTGAGACGTTGAACGCATTCCGTACATGCATTGCTGCGTTTTACTCGGTCGCGTGGTAGCATACCGAGCAAACTCATCTGTAGCGCAGTGCCCATTTGAATGTGAATATTATTTCCGAAGATGCACTTTAGCTCTTCGGAACGCCCGTACAAAAGGAGCTTTTGTACGAAGGAATCGTTTTCTCCGTGCGAAGTACCCGCTGTCCTTCCTCAAAGTTGACAGATCAAAGCTTTCCCCTGAGACGACGACACTTACGGGGATGTTGCACGAGCCGCACAGGACTGGGTGAATTTTACCTGCTAGAGCATTGACTGAAGAGAGTGGCTGTTATTAGGTCTTCAGTACAAAGAGAACCCCCAACCTGCGATATAAAATGTACTTCGGAACACTGACCACATCCGAGTGTTTCCAGGCCTTTAGGGCATCAATTAGCTTCAGATGCATCATGAATTTGCTGTGTCGCCTGTATTAGATCTCGAACCTCGGGCGTATGGCCGACCACAGCCATTAGACGTCCAGCAATAAAAGTAGCTTCCTCTAGAACCCTTTTTAGGGGAGGCTCTTCTGATTGTCCCGTGAGCCCCAGAAGTGCGTCGTCGCTGTTCGCAGGCTCTTGGTCGCTTGAAATTGACACGCCTCGTGCAATGTCAGCCTGCTTCTGAAGCTCCTTTTTCCACAAAGTCGCGCAAAATGCTGCTCCCTCCTTCAGTTCTTCTTCTGCAGCTATAGTAGCATCACGGACGTTAACGAGAGAAGTTGAAAGCATATTGCTACTCATGCTGGGCACGTCAAATGGAGATATCTCTGCGTGTAATCCCCTTGACTTCTTTGCGTTTTCCTGGAGCTTTTCCAGTACGGAAATATATTTGGCGCGTGGAAGTTCCGGTTGCCTCCCCGACCGCTGCATTTTGGCGCTCTCTATCGCTCCAGTCAGAGCCTGGTTAACACTGGCAAGTTCAGACTGCCAGCCTTCAGACAACACCTCGTATAAAGTTGAGCACACACACTTACACTCTTCCAGTTTTTTCAGAACATCCCTGAGAATTTTTGGGTCCTTAAGCGGGAGAGAAACGACACGTTTGGATCGTTCAATCAACTCAAGTCCTTTCTTGAGCGAATCCTGTGCTTCGGACACCACATGACTTGTTTGGGCTCTATAGGCTACGTCTCCAGCAGCTGTGGTGAATTTCCATAACTCGTCGAGCAGGAGAAACGATTCCTCATCAGAAGTGAGCTTGCCAGGCTGGCCTTTGCTTTGTGGTAACGGCCCATGCAGTGGAGGTGGATCTTCGCCAGGTGGCGCACTCTGGTCTGACAGCCCTAATATTGCCGACGGTGAAGGTGTTTGAATTTGTGAAGAATGTTGGTAAGATTCTGGGGAAGTAGAGGAGGGAATGCCTTGTTTTGGGGGATGGCTGCCTCCGCGAAGCTCTTTAGCATATTCAAGTAAGGAAAGCCCAGCTGCACTGGCCGCCTCAAATGTGTCTACAAGGCCCGCTTCAGGAACTTCATATCCAGCTGTTTCTGAATGGACGGTCCCCAGTATTTCATAGAGCGCAAGGGTAGGTGAATGAAGATTATCGGAAAGTGACAAAGCATCCTGCTCAACCAGGGAAGAATCAGACGATGGGAGTGGCTGGCTGTCGCGCACATCTGGGCCTGGCGTGGCTGGCTCTGTGAGTGGAGTATCCGGTGGGGAAGTAGTGCTGTCGCCTTCTAACGAAGAGCTCTGGTCCGAGCTAGGCGTGAGACGTAAGGCTGAACTTGAAGCCTTGCGTTCTTTTCGAAGCTTTGGCAACCGAATGCGAAGTGGGAGGGTATCTGCTCGTGTGCGTTCATTTCCATCTGATGGACGAGACGCATCAGTGGGGGTTCGAGGAGACGTTTCATACTGCCTTTCAGCAGAAGGGAAACCACTCGAAGCCTTGTGTTCTTTTTGAAGCCCTGGCAACGGAATGCGAAGTGGGAGGGGATCTTCTGGGCTGCGTTCATTTCCATCTGATGGACGAGACGCATCAGTGGGGGTTCGAGGAGACGTTTCGTACTGCCTTTCAACAAAAGGGAAACCACTCGAAGCCTTGTGTTCTTTTTGAAGCCCTGGCAACGGAATGCGAAGTGGGAGGGGATCTTCTGGGCTGCGTTCATTTCCATCTGATGGACGAGACGCATCAGTGGGGGTTCGAGGAGACGTTCCAGGACCAAAAGTATACTGCCTCTTAATAGGAGGGAAACCACTCGACGGAGTGGAGGGCGACTCAGAAATTGATGAGGCTTCAAACTCTTGGTCGCTTGATGAGGCGGTAGCGCGAGAGCCAGCCGTTAAAGGCTTAGCTGCCGCCCCCCGGGTCTCGTTTGGTGAGTTAGCAGCAGGGCCACTTCTAGGATGTGCATTTCCGGGGGAAAAGAGTTTTGAAACGGAAGATAGCCGGCCCAAAAGGGATGAAAACCCTTTAGAGCCGCCATCCTGCGGAGCCTCTAGGGTTGGAGAACGCTTTGAACGAGCAACCATCTCAGATAGGGACTTTAGAGGCGAGAGAGAGACACCAGGTGAAGGTTGAGCCAATGAAGATGGAGACGATTGCTTTGACGGTCGGCGGGAGGGCACTGGGGGGGCGGAACTTCGCCGTTGCAGCGAAGCATGCCTGCTGTGCTTCTCTGAAGGCGAGACAGTTGGTTCCTGACCACCAGTCTGCAGATGCACACCCGGCCTCGCCTCTTGAGATGGGCGAGTGAAACTTTCATGACGGGACAAAGGCAGTGAACTCTGCCGTGGTGCTCTTTGAATTGTTCCGACAATACCTGATGAAGGTTGGTGGAGCGAATCCGAAGACATGAAGCCGAGAACTGGCTTTTGGGGGGAAATATGGGGTTGCGAAGTGTGTTGGGGGTCCCCGGAGCCTGCGGCTTGCGACTCCTGACTAGCTCGGGTCGCATCACTTTGCGGCTTTGTAGGCGGTTCAGGAGGTGGGAATTTAGGCCTCTGCAGGCCACGAGCGTTACGCGGTGGCAAGGCTGCTGGAACTGGGCTGGCAGTCTGACTTCGGACCGTCCGGTCACATGGAAGGCTAGCTGTTCTTCCTAGCCGCTGGGGTCGGTGGAGGCCAGGATAAGGAGTAGGCTCGGGTGCTGGGTGGATATCAGAGCATGCTGATAAGCGCTGTTGGCGAGCCGCATACGAATTAGGCACATCATGGCTGGTCACATTTGGGGTGTCCAACGACTGGGTTGAAGGAAGGCCCTTTACAGGGGTTGAGGTAAGCGGCTTCTGAGGCACGTCGGGCAACCGACTTGGAGGATGAACAGGCTGTCCAACTGGAAGAGAAGGAGCTGCTTTAGAGGGCAGACCACTTGAGCCAAGAGATTGCAGGCTGTGTGAAGGACTATGCGACATCCCGTCATCAGCACGGCTCTGCGAAAACTTGAGTTCGGGACTTAACCTTTCACTGGGAGCACTGACAGGACTCTGCTTCGGAGGATAAGGACGTTGCGTGCCAAATGAGGGAGGAATCGTCGCATGCCTTCGAAGTGGACGGCCAGGACGTCTTTCAGGTTCTGCCGGGTGTTGTGCGCTGCCTGTCCCTAGTGCAGCCTGTAACTTTCGCTGTGCTTCTTCCAGCTGAAGCACGTGGTCTGACAGTCCCATTGCCTGCGCCCCTGCCTTGAAGCTGATTACTTCTTCCAGGCATAATTTCCACTGGCCTTCAAGGCCTTCTAGTTGAGGGCCGCGAGCGCTGATGCGCACTGTGATGTTCTCTGCCTCGTCCAGTGTTCTTTGCACTAGGCTTTTAGCAACTGAAACCTCCGTAATGGTGGGTCTCTCGCGAACAACTTGCCCCTCCGCAAGGACGACATCCCTCGCAGCGAGGGCTCGAGCTACGCGCGGGGATATTCTTCTCCCAGCGCAAGCAGCTCTCGCTTGCAGCAGCAGTACTCGTTCTTCTTGGCTGGATCTCCACCCCAAGGCAGAAAGCCTTTCTTGTTTTGCCTTCAGATCATCTTTTTTCTCCAACAGAGATTCCATTTTCTCCTTCATATTCTCTTGTGAAGATTGTCTTTGCTTGTGATCACCCAGAGCAACTGCGCGATTGAGTGCTGCCTGCTCTTGCTTATACGATTCTTCCAGCTTCGAAATGACACGCTGAAGGAGTGAGACTACGTGCATAAGCTTCGACAATGTTGTGCGTGCAGTGGCAATGGACTCTTCATCCTCTTGCGTCAACACGCCCACCTCTGTGTCGGGCAGCTGCAGCGCTTCAAGCTGGAGCTGAGCAGAGGAGTCTGGCTGCAACTGCCGCGGGTCAAGAGGCGCCCCATGTTCGTCAGAGGGACTACAAGAGGTGAAGTCTTTAGCTGCAAGGAGCCTGAGCCTCCCAGCGGAAAGCTTTGCCGCACTCAGTTTCATGCTCCAGAAACAGCTGGAGATGAGCAACACCACAGTTGCCAAGGATAAAAATATGGCTCCTTGAATCAGCGTCCATGCTGGGGGATAAAAACCGTGCACATGAAATGTTCTTTGCCATCCGGCGAAGAAAGACGATTCGACAGGTCGTGCGGCGAGACTCACAGAGGTTTCAAAGAGAGAGGTCTCCTCTACCTTGCCGTCTGTCAATGTCGTGCTGCTATCCTGTATGTCTAAGTTGCCTATGGCTGGAAAATGTTGTTCTGCCCACATGGTCATCGGTAATATGGAAAATGTTCAAGAGGTCTTTGCCAGTTCTTTCTGAGGTGATCATGAGGGTGGGGCCTGGATGGAACGTTGGCGCTTCATCTGCCTTCTTGTCCCATCAAAACAGTCAATGGGGAAGATCAATGCAGATGACGCACTAAAACAGCAAAGTGAAACGGCTTTTAAATTATAATACTGGCAGTGAAACAAAATGGAGCATGCAATGAAACCTTCGGTAGGTTTCAGTGGCCAGACAGAAGAGGGCTCCGAGGAGAGGGACGCAAGTGGGGGGTTTCTCCTCGCTCGTGAGCATGGCTTCTTGGGGAAGAAATCTCTTCATATAAGTGAAATTTTACGGAAATTTCATTATAAAATAAAAACATGGTTTGCAAATGGTTTTTGAAGCCGCGAGCCTGAGTGTTTTTCAAATATAAGGGCGAAGATCATGCCTTAAAGGCAGTATGCACCCTGAGAAACCCAGAGGAGAACTTCCCCTTGAAATCAGCCCTTTCGCAAAAGAGCCGAGTTGCCTGACCCATTCAGAAGTAGTCGCGTGCAACTAACCGTGAGAAATAATTAGACAGGGTACATTGGAGGGGCTCTCACGTGGTAAGGGCTGTTGGCTGCTTCAATGTCTCGCCGTGTTTTGTGGTGGATTCATCGTGGAGACAGTGGAGGACCTACAGGAGATACTTTCAAGTAATGCTATGCATAAAAGCGAATTTTGCTTACGAGCTAGAGGTAATGGTTCGTAGAGCACTGCAGAAGATTGTTGAATGTCGGAGCAGAGGCTGCTGCGCATGAGTCGAAGACATAATACTGTGAATAAGACTGCGTTTGGTAGCTCATTTCCATAACTTTAAAATTAAACTCAGTTCTATGTCTGCTTCCAGCTACGGACCCCATTCTGCTGTGGTCTACGTGGGGACCGTAGGAGCCGGTTGCCGTGCCGCCACAGACCTCATAAAAAGCTCGGGAAAATATCGGACAAAAATTTGCCGTCTCATCCGAAGTAAAGCTCCAGCCTCACTGCATTAAACTGCACTCAGACTAAGTCAAGTTCCGGCAGTCTTTTTGGTCCGATGGCCGCTTAATTGTGGGAACGTGGATCAACAGTCATTGCAGCCCCTGTCAAAAGGTAACTCCTCAATTTTTGACAGGCGCAGCGCAGCCCCTGGCAAGTCATAGACCTTCACAAATACTTCACCGTCTCCTGCGACGGGAACACAGGGAGTCGACGAGCTTTTTCCGCACCCCCACAACCCCAAATGGCGAGCTCACTTTGTGCTTTCAGCTGCCGTAGTTACCTCCACACTATTCTGTTTCGCCGTGCCAGCCACAAAGCTTAGAGAAAACAACTCCTGTGACTCCAGGTTTGCGATTCCCATCTCACTCTTTTGTTAAGAAACGGAAGATCCAATACTGCAGCAGCGCCATACGCAGAAGATTGCATCACGTTTTGTCCACAGAAGAGCTTCTCCGTCAATGTTTCTGTGTGCTTGGTCCCTATTTACAACTCTGTGCTTGTGCGGCGGTGGTACTTGCCTGCGACAGCAAGGACAATCCGATGCCGCGCAAGGAGTCAAATACTCACAAATTAACAATGAAAAGCTGAGCTTCAAGTTCCGGGCATGGTTAGAGTAAGAGATTCGGCTTCGATATGCTCGCTGTTTTGCCCACACGGTTGCAACAAAGTCTGTAATATAGTGTCAAGCATTGCGATTAGGCCCGAAGGTGACCTTGAGGGGCTATATAAATTGAACCATAAGCTTTTTGCCACAAATATGAGTAAAGTCTGTGATGTGGCAGGCCTTTGAGCGTTGCAAGACACTGCGCCAAAGCAAGCCCACAAATAGGAGTTACCCTTTTAGCTGAGGGGCACGCGACGTGCAATGCCCTTTCCTCGATTAGAGCTTTCTGCTCTCCTACGTGGAAATCCGATTATTTTTTGGAATACTTAACAGCCGGAAAATGCTAGGAGGACTAGAGCCAACTCACGGAACTTGCGTGTCCAGAAAGCTGGGCTAAGTGCATACTCAAAATACCAGAGATCCAGTCACTGCTAGCAGCCATTTTTGTTTGCAAGGCTCCCGTTAACGTCTAATCGAAAAACAAAATGAATTGAGTACTAGACATTGGGATATTTTTAATTGTGTTCTCTCCTCTTAATTCAGAGGGCTTACCTCTACGCTGCGCGCAAGCACAGTGCCTCTGGCTTGCTCGGTCCGTCACTCCCCACCTCCAACATTTCTCGACTCCAATAACGAGTTAACCACCAAAACCACCTCTATCGAACGTTTTTCATGATTATTTTCAGTGTTTGGGTTGATTTTGTCCTATTGGGGTTGCTTTCATCAACCAGTCACGTGCAATAGCATCTGTTGGCTCTGTGGTGTGCTGGCCTCCCAAAGTCACCAGTACTGCACCCGCCACCCGGGCTACCTTATAATCAATACCCTTCCCACCTACGCCCATAGGCTTATACTTACAAATGGTTTTGTATTTGTTTTTTTAAAAGCATGTGGGTGCTTTCATTAGCTGCTACACTGACTACTGCGGGAGCACAAGGGGGATCTGTGCCTTTAACAGATCAACATGGAGAGCATTCTCTGTATGGAGTCCAACAGGAGCTTCCTTCGGAATTTCAGAATTCTGATCATGCCTGGTCACAAGAAGGAGAGATGCAGAAGCGGAGATCTGCTCCGACATGGCCGGCATTTAGCGTTCTAACAGTGATCGTTTCCTTAGCCGCTGTAGTCTTCGTCATCTCCCTCTGCGCGCGGAACATTAAAAAATATGAAAGATTCAATCCAGAAGTACAGTTCAGGCAACTTTCAGCCGGAAGAACTAACCCTTGCGTTCCTCCTGCAGAAGCTCAAATGCCAAGCGAGAGTGGCCAGCGCAGCGCTGCTACAGAAGTTCCCGCTGTAGAGAAGCAGTTACATACGTTGCAGCTCACAGATGAATCTAAATGCCTTCTTCGACCAGAGGAAGCCTCTTCCATTGACGCAGCCGCGAGGTTATTACAAAGACAGATCAACACTGTTCGTAAACTTGAGGTACAACTGAAGGGTTTGAAAAGTACTTCTCTTCTGGATTTACTTGAAGGAAAAATGTTGGGGGATTTGGTGGGGGCGGGTAAAATGTCTGACGTTGAACGTAGGGCACGAGAGGAAGATCTCACCTCAAGGCTACAAGTTGAACAAGCGAAACTCTCCGCTCTTGGGTGGAATCATCATCAGGAAGGAAGGGCTCTCCTGCTGAGGGCAAGAGGCCAAGGCAGTGGACGGATACTGCCACCAGCGGCATGGCGCGCTTTTGCCGCTCGAGATGCAGTTTTTCTAGGTGGAAGGCGCGTGGATGTAGTCCCAAGCGTTGCCGACCAAGAACTCATTGTACGACTAGTGGACTACGTTACGTGGAAGGCGTCAATGTTCTGTACTCTGCCCATGTCTACTGCTGATCCATATGTTTCGAGGCTTCACAGTGACATAGTTGAGTTGAAGCAACAGGTTGCCAGTTTTGCCGGCGTGGGTTCACTTAGGGTGGAAAGTCTGCTCATCAAGCTATCCCAAGCGCAGTCTTCTCTTGAGTCCGTACAGTCGAGTCTATCCAGGTCACCAGTGTCGCACACCCCAATACGGCGAAGTATTTGGCACAAGGTTTTAAGTTCTACAGGCCATTCTTCGTCGCCTGCTACACAGAAAGAGCCCGCTTCATCGGGCGACGGAAGAACTGCGCATGAGCAGGGGCGCTCCCTTACTCCATGGCAAGCCTCAGTAGAAACACCGGAAACTGACGTTAGACAAAGTAGGGAGAGAGCGCCTTATGCGCCTCCTAGGTCATTCCCACTTCTTTCACGTTTTGAAGCCACTTGGCGCCCGCAGCGCTCTCATACCCTTGGTGCAGTAGGATCTGCATCTCCAAGCAAGAAAGGACGGCTACCGGGTCGACGACAGCGGCCTGCGCTTCGTCCTACGGAACGTCTGACGACGAAACTTCCCACAATCGAAGAATCTCCTTTTGAGTGACAATGCCGCTGTCCTTTCTTGCTAAGCAGCGTACAATTTGTGTGCAAGTCGGGACAAGCTGGACGTTCCTCTACGCCAAGTCTTGCCGTCAGCACAACAATGGAAGGCTTCATTATCACGCAAGTGTTATTATCGTGATTTTCCGTAACAGCCTTCTTGACGCCTCCGACGCAGGCGGCCCATCCATTTTTCCCCGCCAAGCGGCAAGCAGCCTTCGGAGGATCACTATTCTCCGTGAGGGAAACATCTTTAATCGCATGATCGACGCATGTCATGCGATATTGGCCTACATGCACCAAAATGCATGTATGGAGGTCCACACATGCACTCTGGTGAGTGCATGTACATATGCATGGAAGTGCACATCTTTGGGACTACTCAAAGCATTAAGTCAGGTGCCGAAGGCGTTGCAACCGTGACCACAATTTGTGCCAAGATTTGTGTAATTCGGAATATTCAGACGCTGGGGTTTTTGTGAATCTCTTGAGCTTTGCATCAACTCAGCGTGGAATATTCAAGTGAACGTGCCTGCTGTCACTGCTGGAGGGCAGAGGGAACTGTGTGCAGATGCAACCCAAATATTGTTGAGAAAGCGATTGAACAAACCACGGACTTGTTGATGGACAGCAATCTCTTTCTCGAGGGATGTAAAAAAGCACAGAATTGAAATTCGGGAGAAGCTCTCGAGAATTGATAACGGCATGCGAATGGATTCAGTCCATAGAGCACGAAAAATGACTATCCCATTTCCCTCGTAATGCTGCGACCGAACTGCCTCCCTGTTTCCTGTACTTGCTCTGGAAGCATTTCGGTGCTTGCTTCTGCGAGGAATACAGATGATGCGGGCGATGCAAGGCTGTGTGCTTCTTTGAAAAGAGTAAAGGGCTGCGCGTAAAGTATCTACATGAGCGGCGAATCATCACTATTTGTAAAGCAGCTCAGTGTAGGGTACGTGTGCAGAAACGACGACGCCTAGCAAATTCCCACGTATTCGATAAGTGCAAGTGTACTTATATAGTTGGGGATTTGTCTGGGTCCAGCAGGAAACAAATACCTTCTGTTCCCATAACTATTTGGAACCCCCATTCTGACAGCGACAGTTTGTACATTTTAACATTTGTGCATTGCAACGACTAGCGGGACGCTGCTGCTACTTGGCGCGTCTTGTTGAGTGCCCAAACTAGCCCATATGAATGTCTTGAAGCGCCTGTATAGCCGAGGGAGTCTGGTGCTATTGCTGTGGCGCGCTTGCAAATGTTTTCTAGAGCGATCAGTATCAGGTCTGTCTGTAAGCAGAGTGTTCTACAGAAATGCTGTATTGCACTGCTGGCTCTCCATGCTTATAGAAGGCTGGCATGCCAGTAGCTGCGTGCACAACAGCCACCACGTACTTCGAAATCTTTGCTTGCAGTGGACTTCGAAGCATTGATTTTCCAAAGGTTGGTTTCTCATCCAGCCGATTCACTACAAACAATTTGTTGACAAGGACTTTACAGAAGTACTCTCTGCTTTGCAAAAGCACACTGTATTTTGCCTTTTGCAAGGAATGTAAAACTGACGCCGGGTCGGACCCAAAATACTAGTCTAGCTTGCCGGCAAGCCAACTGTTGGGGCGGCTGCTTTGTCTGCCCCAATAACTGTCCAATACAAGTTTCTAAGGAGCCAAAACCACAAAGGGACGTAAATTGGCTCAATTCAACGGGAAGTGACAACTTGCATATTATCCTTCAACATGCTCGCTGCTCACAGGCACTGTTGCCGCGCTCGAAAAAATCCAGCTTGACCAGCAAAGCCGATGCCACGGCAGAACGCCACCCAATTCGTGATGCAACAATACAGCATCACTCCTGTGGGACTGTTACACAGAAATTACGTCCTTTTCCAATGCGTGTGAGCTTCCGTGTACCACTGAACATATGCCTCAGCCGCAAGACAAAAAGAACCAAGTCAAAAATACGCCATTTGGCTTCTTTAACCAGCCTATCATCGCATTCTAGGAATCAACAAGCTTTCATTGGCATGCGGCCCTGCGAGCTCTGAACTAACGGGATGGTTCTTAGGAGTTCAGGGCTGCTGGCGCTGGAGCGTAGGTGGCACAGCTGTCACGTCAGTGACTTGGGCGTCGATTTACTCCTGCGCAACGAGGGACTTTTCAGAGTTAACTGCAAGAGACGTCGGATGCTTGAGCTTCTTGTGGAACTTTCTTCCTGCCTAGCAAGCTCGGGACACAATCCTTTTAAGGCGTCTTTGAGTTCTGCAAGCTTCGTTGTGGGCCTCTCAAAGCTTTCGAGTACCTCCAGGATACTTGCTGCCTCTTTTAGCATGTTCTCTTTTTCGTCCTGTTGACTGGTTGCAGACGGCTCTGCAGAAGAGGTGTGTGGTGTGTCAGATGCTTCTGGCCTGCCTGTTTGTGTGTGTCCTTGTACAGTCAATATCCAAACGGAAGCAGCTGCGTCCACTACATTCTCCAGATCCGACTTCGCATCAAAGAGGAGAGTTTCAAGGTCTTCTAGGGTATCACAAAGGCCCGCATCGGCGCAAGGCAAATGACCACAACCACAGCGAGATATTGATTCTAAGGTCCGAGTTCCTAAATCCACAGCACTCTTGAGATACAGTGCTTTACCGATGTAAGGATCCCCTGCATGTGGAATCCTATCTGTTGAGCCTTTTATCTTAGCTTGTAGCAAATCCCGCTGCGCACACTTCACCGTATAGATACTTTGCAAAGCCCTCTTCAACCAATCATCTGACAGTTGTTCATGCAGGCTTCCTAACAAACCGTGCACTCGCGCTCTCGCCTCCGTAAAAGCTGACCTTCTTGCGGAGCTAACCGATTCTTCCACCTCGACACTAGCGATAATTTTATATGTTTCGGCCCCTTCCGACACAGTAACATCGAATTCATCGAGAACAACGCCTCTGCACGCCTTGTCGAGAATGGTCTGCGCCTTAGGAATCCATAGTAATAAATCCTTGATATGTTGCATCACTTCGTCTTCGTTCAGGGGTGGCCGTCTCGGTACCGAAGAGGGTCCAGGCCGGCGAGGTTTGTCGGCCTTCTGACGGCTCCGGTTGCCATGACCTCCTGGACCGGGTGGCGGCTTACGGGATGTTGCAGAGACGGATCTTCTTAGAGGCGATTGGCGGGATAAGAGAGGTGTCGAAAGGCCGCCTTGTGTGCTCATTGGAGCCTGTTCTGTTGGGACACCAGTTGATTTCGATGCTGCCGAAGGGTTCTGAGGCGCTTGTTCTGCCAAATTTTGCCTAGATTCAGCTCTAGAACTACCAATGGAAAGCCTTGACATAAATCCGAGCCAACTGCTCTTCTTTTTTGGTCTGTGTGTGCCCTGGGAGACCAACTCTCGGACCTGCCGCGAAGCTTCTTCTAGTGATGTTGAGACATCAAGCAGGTTGGCAGAGCGTAGTTGCAAGGTTGTGTATTCCACGTCGACTAAAACTGTATTCGCACGCTCAACTTCGTCAGCCCCAATTTCGCGTTGTGCCCGAAGCATAGAGGTGATCTCACATATTTCCTGGCGGAGATGCTTCACTAGACACTGTACGGTCTCTCGATCCTTTTCTGTCAGCGCACTTGGCATGCGCTTGCTCGGATTATTGACTCTCTTCGCCGCAACAATAGCTGCAGCTGCGTCACGTGACAGCGCTCGTCCTGTGCCATATGAGCTGGACCTATAAAGTAATGCAGCAACATCCTGAGCAGAATTCCAACTCAGGTGTCTGAGTCGGGCTCGTAGATCATCTCTCTCTCTGGATTTTCTCTCTAATTCGTCTCCAAAAGCCGTCTGGAGTTCCCTGGCCAGAACTCGAAGCCGGTCAACTGAAGTGTTCAAGCAACACTTGGCGTCTGCAACGGACAAGCGCTCTTGTTGCGTGAGATTCGCTGCTTCACCATCTGCGAGACTTAGAAAAAAGAGCTGGCCATTTGCGGCGGAAACTGCCTTTAAATCCTCTGGACTTGTAAAATCCGTGGCACTGTCCCCTCCAGCAACACACGCTCGAGATGGTCCTTCCGCTAGGTAGCGGGAATGAGTAAAGTTAGCCGCAACAGTATGGATTTGGAGGTAACAGCTTAAGATAAGGTATAGAAGCACAAGGGTACTGGCGACTCCTGCAACAAAGGGCAATAATCCTTGAGGAGAGGAACTGCTTCGGTGGTAATATTGCAGTTGGTCTGGTGTTACAGGGGGAACAGGCCAATTAGGGACCGTCTCCACGAGGTAGCCCTGACCTGGGGGAACAACAGTACTCGGGCTGATTTCATGTGGTTCGGTGGATGAAAGAGCAACGAGGAACATCACATGCGCAGGGGATGGTAGCTTCCACATTCCTGCAATAGGCGAGGTTTTTTGTGAGACTGCGCTTTAATCCTGGTTCTGCTCATCTAGCCATCACTTATGCACGAATATTTTCGCCACACGAATTGCAACTGATAAAATCGCAAATGCATGAGCGCGTTGCCACCTCAACGTGCTAGGGAAAGCGGAGGAGTCGATGCTGAAGCCAGCAAGGCGAAATGATCAGTCACTACGAAGTATGAACAGTCTCCTAGTATACGGTTGGTGGAGCTGCTATAGGCTGCAAAGATATTTCAGTGTCTGAGAGGAATCGCCAGCCCGCTGTCGTTGGAGGCCTGTCTCGGCAGTGCGACAGACAAAGGCAACGCTGTTCGGAATTCGCAATGTCAAGTTTGAATGGGCGAAGAAAACAATGCACGGACTAGCGAAACGCTTGCACTGCAGTGTGGAATCTAAGCATGAATATTTTTCATATTCATGCAGAGCTGCCGCATCCAGCTTCCGCAAACTGCCCCCTTCGTCAGGAGCACGAGCCGGCGAAATGGATACGCCTCCGAGGTGCACCAGCGGTTAATTTGTACGTAAAACAGTTTTTAGATGAAGCACTTCAAGAGATTAGACCACTTTCAAATACTTTTGAATATGTTTCATGCATGAAATTCCCGGCAGCGGCTTGTTCGGGAAAAAATATGAGCTCGGCGTCCCCACAAGCATCAGGAACGGTATCCTCTCCGAGAAACGAAAGAATTCCATACTAACAGAGAGTACTAGGATCGAAGATTATATTACTTGCTGCAGCATCAGGGATATCCAAAATTTTCCTGCATAGAACAACTTTAGCATTAAAGACGGGTAATGCATACAATTGCTTGCCTACAGCACTCCAATAGTTTCCCCTCGGCGATGTAAGGTTTCGCGAGAACTGTAGCAGGATAATACCTCGCGAGACCTAGATTAGCATTGGAGCACCCAATATTTTCATGACAAAGACGGGTGCGTGGGATCAAGATAGTTGGGCAATATTTTGAAGCTTCGATCAGTTGCCGCACCGCGACCGGCCGACGAGCTAGCATTCCATTCAACAAGTGAATAATTAGTTCCCTCCGAAATATTCGCATTGTTTAGAAGATTGAACCTTTAGGGAACGGAAGGAGGTTACTTGCTGGACCGCAATGAGCTAAGGACTGCAATTTACATGCAATTCTTGTGTACGAGCCAATGGTTTAGGCAGCATCCTGCTAGCCACGCATTCGTACTGAAGACTAATTTAAACAACAAAACCAACATAAGTGAGCCATTTGCGTGAATAAGACTACAATGCATTGCCTTACAAGGCCCTTGAGACTTAGATATTCTATGACCAGTTCCGCAACACACTACAGCTGTCGAACACTGTGCTACAGAGGTACGGACCTGGCAAGAAAATCTTCCGCAACATACTACATCTGTCGAACACTGCGCTATAGAGATACGGACCTGGCAAGAAAATCATACGCAGTTTCTTCTCCATATATTTCCCAACCTTATAGACCCTCAAGGTACTTCCTGTTCCCTCCATGCTCACAACGCACCAACAGCTCACGTGGCACTTGGTAGTCCTCACGGAAAAAGTAATGGGAGCACTTTTTACATCGCTGGCAGTTAAGAGCTTAGCAAGAGGGCCGCCGCCGCAGCTCCTTGTGTAAGCAAACAAAAGCCGGCTTAAATTCTTTCTCACTTCATTCAGGATTGCAAAAGTGTGGGTTTTTATCATGTTTTGTCATGGTGGTAGACGTTACTTTAGCTTCTGGCACAAGCTGCTCTCAGTAGAAGTGTATTCTAGTGCTCCAGAATACTCGGCGCTCATGTGCATTACTGGAAGAAGGATTTCCATGCTGACGCCGCGTCGGCAAAACCTCCTTACGTGTATGTTTTGGAGGCGAGTGACAAGCGTGCTTCCAAGTATGGCGTGTAGTTATGGGCCAGTGCGAGGGATATACCTATAACTGGGGTACATAGCTTAAGAAAAGTTGATGGATCAAAGGGAAGACGGCTCAGAAGGTACGTGAAACGAGCTGTGACACCGAGCTCTCGATTCGACATTGCGCCCTCGGTCCATTTCCCCGTCGCAGCCCCCAAAGAATGACTCTCTAGAGAAAAATTCCCCATCAGTTTTCATGACCAGCGAGCACTTTAGTCGTTTCTACCACTGGATCTTGTGGCGACATTCCTGAGGCTTGTGAAAGGCTTGACGGACACTAACAAGCAAATGGAGAAGTAGTGGGAGGACCATAAAGTCAGTGGGCAGTGGTTCGGGAGGGTAGATAAAGTACACCATCTAGGTACACAATAACGCCCTGTCCTAATAAAGGTTGTAGATAGGCATTAATGTTAGCATGGAACGCAGCTGGAGCGCCCTTAAGGCCAAAGGGCATTACTCGGCACTCGAAAAGTCCGAGAACGGAACGGAAAGCCGTCTTCCAACGGTCTTCCTTAGTGTAGTGCACAGCGCCTACTGCTGCGACTACGCTGCTACCTGCCCCTCGAGCAGGACCTACAAACGGCACCTAACGTATGCCCATTTCCTGGAAACTGTAGCTTATTTTTATCGAAACGCAATAATTCTTAAGTTTTTCAAAATCTGTCCGTTCGATTCGGCCTCCTCGGCTGACATACCCGCCACTTGTTTGGCCAATATCTCAAATGCTTGCTCTGCTGGGGTCCTTAAATGGACTACGGTGGGACTGTCACCTTGCAGCTTTGCTTCACCAGTCCGAACGACCGGTAACTCGCACCACTGGCCCTTCACATAGGTTCGGAGTTTGTCAGACTGAAAATACCAGGCCACCTTGTGTTCCGTCAGCCAATCCATAATCAAGACTAAGTCATAGGGAACGGGTCCCGCTAAAAAGTCCCCGGAAAAACGTGCATGTCCGCACCACATCGTCAATCCCGTTACAACCCGATCAATGCGTAGCTGTGCACCTGTAGCTACGGTGAACCTATGTTCTTTTGGAAGCCTCCGCACTTTCAGCTGCAGTCGTTCAACTGTTTTAGGACTAATGAAACTTCTCGAAGCCCCAGTGTCCAAGAGGGCCTCACAAGGACTCCCTGCGAGCTCAACGCGAAGTACCGCCGTCGCACCCACACAACACAACGCTCCCCCTTGGTCGTAAGACTCTTTCGTGCAAGTCTTTCCTCCACCAGTGTGACACAATCTCTGTCGCGTCTGACCTATAGCCGTCTTGTGTTGCCTCTGCAGACTTCCTGCTGCTATCCGTCGTCGCGTCCGGAGTCTCTTCACTCAGGATCGACGCTGACCCAGACTCACGCCGCGTTTCCGAAAGCGGGTGAGTCCCTTCCACGTGCCCATAGCTCGTATTAGTTCTTTCCGCAGTGCGGAGGAGTTGGTTTCCCACTCAAGGGAGACTGGAATGGCATTGGGGCCTGTCGCTACCGCACACATCATCCCTTTGCCATGGCTACGCGGCCTAGAACGCTCGTCTCGAACCACGCCTAGGCCCGCACGTTTAATCATTCCGTCGTCTCAGTGCTAGGACGGGTGGGCTCCCTACTGCTCTTGTCCACCGGCTAGGGCCGGCTTCGTTCATACGTAGTCCCGAGCATAGTGTCCCACACCGCCACACTTCTTGCATATTTCCCCCCGACGTTTGGTACGTTCTCCTTTGCTGGGACAGACACGTGCCGGATGTCCGCGACCCTTACACTCAAAGCAGTTCGTGTGGGTTCCCCCAGGGCGATTTTCAAATTCCTGGGGCCCACGGGGTCCATTAGCTTGGATAGCAGCCCTAATGGCTCGACTGGTCCTTTCTCCGAGTTCCAGCGCACTCTGCTTGGGCTTGTAGAGCCGTGTTGCGACTGTCGCCGCTTGTTCCCATGACTGATATTTCACCTGTCCGTTATTGGTTATTAGAAGATGGAGGTCTGTCCGTAGCCCGGTGCAGTAATAGTCCGCCAGTTCGTCGGGGGGAAGACCCAAACCACGCTCCGCCACAGCCGCAAATCGGTCCGTGTATTCCTTCGGGTTACCATTCCACCGTATTTTAGCCAACTCCGTTAACAATTGACTCTGCGACATTGTTCTGTCAAACCGCTCCAAAAGCCTGCGCTGTACTGTCGCCCAGTCGCTTAGGTCAATAGTTCTCCGTAGATAGATCCAATACGTTAGAGCCGGTCCCACAAGGTGGCCTATAAGTGCATTTCCCCACTCGCGCAGTTCCAATCCCATCTGGGTGTACCGGCGCTCGATGCGCAGCAGAAAGGCCTGCATAGTGCTGCCGTCTTCTGGTAGTATGGGAGTCGTTGCGCCGGATTCCACGGTCCCCCCTATAACAGTTCTTATCACACTCATAGCGGACTGGAATTGGTTTCACGTGACGAAGGGACTGTCCCCTGGCATAACATTGGTCATAGGTATCACCTGTGGGGGCGCCTCCTTATGCCCATGCGGCCGCTCTGCCACGGTGGGCTTCAGAC